CTTCTCCTGCTGAGGAAAGCTGAGGACCAGGTCTCTTGTGTCAGGGCACACAGTCTAACCACAGGTGTGTGGGAGGCCATGACCACAAACACTGCTACTCCTTTTGCTGTTGAAGAAAACAAATGTTCAGGCTTTCTGAAACTCCTTCAGGCACCTCAGAGCTGGGCATGCTGGCTGAGACAGGCCTGCTCGTGGCTGCTAAATCCACAGCTGAGCAAGCTGAAAAGCTCAACTTGTATTTAAAAAAAGAGAATGAGAGAGAAAGAGAGACCAGGTCAACCCAGTCCTGATATGGAGCCAGTGAATTGCCAAAAGCCTGACTGGGTTAAGCTGGTGGAGGGGAGGGTTTGGGAATCTGGCCTGGGTTGCCTGAACTCCGTAGATTGCAGTCACTGCTGATGGGCTAAGGAGCAGGGATAAAATGAACAAAGCAAGTCGTTGCTCCTGGGTTGCATTATCCACAGGCTTTGGCATTTTCCAGCCGAGTGCTTGCCTCTTCTTCCTTCCCGACCCACTGCTGCTATTGCTTTTACATCATGACTGTCGAGGAGTGTATCATTCATAAATACCTATCACAGAGAGATTCCTTTTTAAATGCTTAGGGAGATGGAGGGCTACAAACCCTGGGAAATCAGCTATACCTAATATATTATGTAGAAGTTCTGTAATCATTATTGAACTAAAGTGCATTGAGTAAGTGGATAAAATCAGTCCCACTGTAGCATAAGTCTCCAGAGATCACAGATAAAAATGCCTCGCACTTAAGCAGAAAAAGGTAACAAAATATTTCCAGTCCCAGCAACAGCATTTTCCCCTCTATATAAATAGGGAACCCTCAGGAGAAGGCAATGATGCAGCAGAGGTTGAAGGCAAAGTTAATGGTGGCAAGGGGAGCAAGGCAGTGCGTGGGGCAGGCTGTGGTGAGCAATGTGAGATCCGCGGAAAGGAGGCTGAAGGCAGAGCCCTTCCTGGCAGGGATGGTGGGCAGGGAGGCAGTGGGGCAGTGGGCAGGACCCCTGCAAATCTGGGGGGATAGTGTGGGTCTGGCAGGGAGCGGAGGTGAAAACTGAAGCACAACAACCAACGAGGTGAGCCTCTGTGCAATGTTTGTGCTCCCTTTTCCTCTGGATCCTGAAGAAAAGCTAACTTTTACAACCAGGTTCACCTTGGGGCTTGTTTTGCAGAGCTTGTCACGGCTCACACAGTTTCCCATCTGAGCACACACATGGCAGCATTTTTGTGCCTCCTGAGCTAAGGTCAGGTCTGAGCTGCTGCCTTCTTACAGAGAGTCACAGAGGCTGCCTCACTGGAGAATTTATCCTGAGGTTATTCTCAACCAGATAACCTGTGCCCCTTCAGAGCACACTTGTACAGAGCTACAGACATCATCAGTCCTTGTCTTTCTCATGTGTTTGGTCAAGAGCTGCCAGGCTGCAGTGAATCACCAAGGCATGGTCAGACACTCTTGCAAACCCTCTAAAACTCTTGTAAGGACCTAAAGTACAAGATACATTTTGACATAAATAAATATGGGGAAATTAGGGATTCATATACTTCAACAAAAAATGAAGAGAATCATTTCATTCCTTTATAAAAAACAGAATTTGACTGGACTGGACTTATAGGACAGAATTTGTTATATGTTTCAGGAAAGGGCTAAGTGATCATCTAAATAATTTTTTTGATTGAGACCTTCAAATGTGCATCCAAATTAGTGATGAAGTTTAGGTTTTTCATTTAAAATAAGAGGGGAAATGTGTGTTAGAGCACTGTATTTGCTACTGCTGTTCTAAGTCTACACAAAAAAAGCCACCTGGAATTGCCATCCCTGCTGTTAGGCTGTGACCTGGGTAGTCATTGGCATTGGTGTCCTGGAATTACTTTATTAAAGTTTTCTAAGATGTGTGCTCTTTCACATGACCTGCCAATCATGTTGGAGCAGTGCCATAAGCTCTGGTCTGGTTGTATCCTCAAGGGCACCAAGGAAAGGAAGAGGGTTGAGGAGTTGGAACTATTACTTATTTATCTAAAGTATTGACCTGACCTCCCCTACTGAAATATCAGCATTATATGCTGGGGAAAAGGGATGCCAGAGCCAGCTCCTTCTGGGAATAGAGGAAACAGAGATGTCAAATGGGGCCCAAATCAGGCAGTGTGCCATTGAGACAATGGTGGTGGGGGCAGGCAGGAGGTGGCAATGACATGAAACAGTGAGTACAAGGAGTGAGCAAGGAGGCAGCAACCAACTGACCAGGTGTCTCAGTGAAGCTCAGTGTCAGGCTCAGCATCTCTGAGACGTGGCCTTACTGTACTGAGTGGACTTGGAATGCTCACTGTTAGGTTCTGCACTTTTTTTTAGTGCAATGATAATTAAGTGAAGGGAGGAAGAAGTGAGTAGCAAGTGCTGCTTCTGTAATATTGCTGTGGATGGAGATGAGCAAGCAGATGGTCACAGCTGTGAGATGATGAGGTGGATGTTCCTCATGGAATCTCCATCCCACGGTCTGAGATGCACAGACAGGCACAAGAAAGAAAAGTACAGAATGAAATTAAATTGAGGGAGAAATAAAAAGCCATGGGGATTCTGCGTAAAAAGGAGGGATTATCTTTGCATAGCACAACACAGCAAAGCCAAGCCTGTCACAGCAGCTCAACATTTAATGGGAGTACCAACACAGGTGAGAGCGTGTTCAAAAGCACAGCTGGAGCAGAACAAGACTGTGTATTGTCTTCCATGCACTGGAGGAATGGACTTCAGTGACAACCTGCCTGAAAGGGTAATGAGGGTAAAGAAACTAAGATGGAGTGGGCCCACTTTTGAAAAAGCCTGGGGAATGTGGCATTTGCCAAAGCTCTTCCAGAACCTTCTGTCCTGTGGAACTGAAGGAGTATGGAGCTGAGTTGGGGATCAGGGATTCTGTGGGAGGCTCCAACCCATCTTTGGTACAGCAGCACAATGTGAATATCTACAGGAGAACTAGGGAACAAGGTGCAGCAAACAGGAAGGAACTCAGGAAATCAATGGTTTAACATTAAATGTGTCTTTGGCTGCCCCGTGCAATGGTAGAAGATGCACAGGCTGTGATGTTAAGCCCAGTTACATAAATGATTACACAACACAGCTGTGGCAAGAGCCTGCAAGACTGATTCTAAAGGGAATTAGCAGACACACAGACAAAACCAGTGTGAAGGCAGCTCATTTTGAGGCTTTTTAAACTGAATACAAAATCAGAGACCGACCCATAAAAAAATACTACCAATCCCACTGCCAGATACAAACCCTGCAGTCAAAATGACTACTTCAGTGGGTAAAGAAATCAAAGGTAAGAGGGTAAGAGGGCAGCAATAGGTCATGCCATTATACACCTTTTATCTAGATTTCTCTGTGTGATAGCAGAAGACTCTCCTCTCCCTTTGGGCATATAACCCATCATTGGCCATGTGTCTCTCTGCAGCCTGAATGTGACCCCTGCACCTGGTCCTCATATGATTTGGGTTTTGGAGGGTTTTTTTGGCATCAAGAAAGCAATGCATCATCTATTACAGTGCTGTCACCCAGGTGAGCTCCGTTTGGATTGTCAGAAGTACATCACTGGGGCTGACCAGCAGACTCCTCTTCATCTGAAGGAGGTCTCATGCCATCTTAATCCCCTGCCCACCCCCCGCCCTCCTTTCTTTTTAAATCTGGCTAAATTTAAATTTCAAACAAAGCTATTGTCATTGGATCCAAAAGACTGAAAAAGAGCTCTTGTTCTGCTTCACCTATTACAGGTTATACTACATCCTGAATTAAATCTTTCAGCCTGCTTTTCAGATTCATGTGACCCAACATGTTTGTAGAGAGTTGAGCACTCACAGAGCCCTCAGCTGCAGTGAGAGCTGCCAATATTCACACCAAGTGAAAGAGAAGCAGGAGAATTATCTTAGACAGAAGAAACAGATCTCTTGTGCTGACAGAATAAACACATTTTGGGTCTGACTTTGCCAGCAGCTTTCCTTCGTCTAACAACTACTGGAGGGGATCTGCTAACATTTAAGAGATATCCAACACTTTACATTGCAAGAAGACACTTTCAGCTGGTCATGTTTTCAGTAAATTTAATTTTTTAAGGTATGATTTAACTGCAATCCCAAACATCCTCATTGCTCCCTAGGGAATGCTTGGAGCCTTGAATTAGGTGTGGTGTTTAAAGGGTTTTGATTGTCCCTATTCCTTCCTTGGGAATGCTTGGAACCTTGCATTAGGTGTGGTGTTTAAAGGTCTTTTGTATTACAGAGAAGTTAAGTTCCAGTATGTCAGCCCTCCACATGCCAGAAGTAAAGTTCCTTATGGTCCTCTCCTGCCAGAGCAGTACAGAGGGAAATGGAATGCCCAGAACAAATTTAGCAGCTGACGGATTTGTCATTAAGGAAGGGCAGCAGAATGGAAACACTTTGTAGGAGCCTCCTTCATGGTCAAGTCAAGAAGCCAGTCACAGCTCAGCAGATGTAGGTGCAGTTCTTGGATCTAGGCTTGAGCAGGTCACTCAAGACCTGGTCCCTGAAGTGTTGCCATTGACTTAAATATGACCAAGATGAAAACTTAAATCTCCCCGGCTCTCTGGCACTGGATACAAGTGCCTTGTACTTCAGGATCATTGTGTTTAGAGAGAGACAGCTCTTGCAACTGAGTGCCTAAAGCCAGAAATGCTCCTGAAATCCACTACAAAAATATATTGACCCTTCAGGCAAATAAAGGTAAAACAATGGAAATAATAAGATTAATGATAACAGGATGAAAAGCATTCTGAGTGAGGATCCTTTGAAATCCATTAGTAATGAAGGAAAAGGAGTTTCAGTGCACCAGCACTCACTATGTTTGATTGTGTAATTCCTTGAATTTCTGTTTCTCCCTTATTTCAGAGAGACAATTCACTAGCCTCTGGCTTCTATATTTTTTTTTTTTTTCCCACTTACTAGCTAGCAGAGGCAGAAAAATAAACACACAACTAGGAGCTCTATTCACAGACAGGAAGTAACTTTAATTAAATATTGTGAAAGTTGAAAAGTTTTTACAGCTTGAATTTCTGCAAAAAAATTATAACAATCTCTACAGTAGTTAGTTTCTCTAACAATAGAACTGTACAGTGTGTGTGTCTATTCAAAAAGATTTAGATAAGAAGGTGAAAGGTTAGTAGTTTCAGAGATGACTTCATTTTAGCTGCATCCTAGTACAACTGTGAGGAAATAGGCATTACTTTATGCAATCCAGTCATTGTGAAGCTTCACCTTGTTAAAACTGAAATCTGAATGTTTCCACTTAAAGCCATATTCTGTAAACAGCTGCATCTTTTACTTTGTAAAAGACAAGGGTGGTGCAGGGGAGATTTTTGATAAGTTCCCATTCATCAGATCACGATAAGTAGCTGCAACAAAACAAAATTATGCACATTGTCAAAGGATCTTTGGACACTGGCTTAGAGACTACAAACATTGTGACTAAGAGTGGAGTCAAAATCACTAGGACTGAGTGGAGCTCTACAAGAGTAATCGACGGTGTCACTGGACAAAATATGGCTTTAAATTTGATTACATTGTCGTGCTGTTGCTTTACTATGTGAATTAGAATAATCACTTGGAATACAGAGAAGCAATAAACTGATGTCTCTCATATTTTCCAGTTTTCTCTTTTATTTTCTCACCATGAAAAAAAAAATCCTGTTTTCTTCCCTTCCCCCCAAAGATCACACTGTGACATTCTAGTGAAAACCATTGCAAAATTCATACAGGAAGCATGCACAGTTGCAGCATCGTTGTAAATGATTTCTTGCTTGACTAGAAAAAAGTTATATTGTTTTAAGGTAACAAAACAGTTCTTTTGTGCTTTTCAATTCCTTTTTTTTTTTTTTTCTTAGAATGTTAGTGATGATTGACAGTTCTGGTGCACAGTACAATGTACAAGTGAAATGAATATGATTTGCATTGTTAAGGCATCCAATCTGCTGGTTTATATTTATGTGAAAGACAGAGAAATATACAAGCAGACTTAAGAAAGAAAGTATTTTCATTGAGTTCTATGAAGTTTCTCCCCATATTTAATGCACAAAAATGCGTCACTCCAAAGAGGAGAAATCCCATGCATATTAATAGAGTAAAACAGCATTAGTTTTTGTTAAGCCTCAAAAGCAAAGGATACATTTTTTTTAAAATCTACATAACTAAATGCTACAAGAATAATATGCTACCTTTTGCCATATATTGGAAAAAACTTCTTAACTTACAAATAATACAAAAATAGACAATGGCTTTTGGGTGGAAATTAAAAAAAAAATGGAAGCATGGTTTTAAACAATACTAAAAAAATCAACCCTATAAATGAAATGTATTAAAATCACATTTAAACAGCTAATACAACGGTGAATGACCAAACAAATCAGCACTTTTCACATAGCAAACATACACAATAAAATAAACTTGTAGGGGACAAAAAGCAATGTACAAATTCCAAAGATAAATACATTATTTATATGGATATTTTACAAAATCCCCCGACAAACAAACAAACAAACAAAAAACAGAAACAAAAAGCTTTTTTTTTCTTTAATTAATTTGCAAGTATGTGCAAGCTAAAGGTAGTGAGCTCTTTTTGCAAAATATGCAGTAAAATTCTTTTTTTTTTTTTTTTTTGTGATATTGAAAAACTGTCTTAAGACATTAAAATGTATAAATAGAACAACAACTTTGGCAAAAAATCACAAAAAATCTACAGTATTTATAACTACATACAAAACACAACAGCAAAGAAAAAATATCAGGTAATGCATCTTCAGAGCTTTGCTGCCTCTTTGACTAATAGTTTTTAAGAACACTTCCCAGATAATGATAGCAAAATTTTTTGTAAAACAGAAGCTATGGTTTTGATTTGAAACCTTCCTAACGGCCCCTCCCCCTCCCACCCTCCCCTAACCTCATGTTTCCGTTCGCTATTCAAAAGCAGTTACCTGTTGCTTTATAGAGTACGATACAGACTGAGAGGGTCGACTGATACAGGAACGATCCCAGTGGGAGGCTGACGCAACCTGTGCTTTTGGGTGGGGAGGATGGGGAACGGCAGCCAGGGGCTGTTCTCTTCCTGCCCCATGAAAATAGGTCGAGGGGAGAAGTGCTACACTGGAAAAACCCCACAGGGATGGCCACAGTCTGTGTCCTCAGGCCACATCCGAGCGGCGTTTCAAGCTGCACCTCGGGAAGGCTGCTCGTTTGGAAGGAGCCTGACACATCAGCTAAAGAGAGACCTGTGCTCGTCTGATTCTGCACTTTTAGCATCATATCTAGAGGCACTGGATTTTCGGTTCAAGAGCAGTGTGTTTGCATCCCTTCCCTCCCCTTCACCAGCTTTTTGCTGAAAAAGGTTAGACCTTCGAGCCCCCTTCCAACCTGGCGTCCTATGATGAACTTTTCCTGTCGCATTATTTACACAATCATTCAGCCTGATATTAAAGGCAGAGGTTCCTTATCCCACCCCTCATCCCGCCCTCATCATCCAAAAATATCAGCTTTCTAGGGAGTGATACCTATTTATTTAGAACATTAAAAATGCATCATATTAGCAAGTCACCACTGGATAAGCAACATATATGAGCCGACCCTTAATTAAATGGCCATAATTCTTCTACGAAAAACTAACTGGCACTTCTATTCTGTCCCATACAGACTTGTATGTAAATGACACCACTCCATTTTTCTTTACACAGCTTTAAAAAAAAAAAAAATTCATAAATTAAAAATGTGGAGTTCCATCTCTAGTGTCCCTTGTGTAATTGTATGATTTATAAAAGACAAATGGTGTTGAGTTAAATCAAGCCTTAAAAAAACCACAAAAAAACCCAGAAGGAAATAAAAGCAAGCCCCCACCCCGAAAAAAAAAAAAAAAAAAGTGGATTTCTTTTTTTATCAACATACAATAAATATATCTCCCAGGTATTTGGGATGGACAACTTGAATCAACACCTTGCAATTGTAGATTGTTAATTTCAGTATTTGCAAGGATGGTGATTTTTGTTTTGTTTAAAAATCTGCAGTTATTGTAAGATCCTTCTTTATTTCTTTTTTATTTTTAAAAAGGCCTGAGTAAAAAGTTCCACTCTGGGACTTGTATCAGATTCTCTCTGAAGCAGAATTCAACCTCTTCATTAATAAAATTCTTCAAGGCAATTCTTTCACATGGGGGGAACAATCATGCCAGATATAGCTGTCAGAAGGAAAGGGGTGGGGGGGGGGAGAGAGAGAGAGAGAGAAAGAGAGGGGGGGAAAAGGTTAATTTTCTGCATTATCAAGCAACTTTTAAAATCCTCAGAGCTTTAAACATTTACTAGAAATGTACTCAGCTGTACTTTGAGTTAAATTTATACATAAGTATCATTCATAAGAGACAACTATGTACACAGTAATCATGGGAAGTCTCCTGACTGGAAAGGTTTAAATTGCAAGTAACTTGGCTGAAATTACTGATTTTCTCGTAGAAACAATGTCCTTCCCCAATATCAGTATCAGACCCCAACCTTTTTTTATGATTTTAGTTTCAAAATCTTGAAATGGCCAGGAGGCCCAAATTTGACCCATCCATTACCATGCATTCTATTATTCATTTAAAAGCTAAGCAGATACTTGCACCACACATGGGAAAACAGCTGGAGCCCCACAGGCCACAACTGTTTGGGACCTGGAGAGGTGTCCCTTGCATTGTCACATTGACATGGGTCATTCTCCTACACCAGTTCTCTTATAACTTCAGTGTTCATCTCTGGGACTTATGGATGTATTACCAGATGCTCAGAAAAGGACTTAAACTCTCAAAGCTAATTTTTAATTTGAAATATATCCTCAACTGGTGAGTTAGCAGACCAGCATCTGATGATTTTATTGCACTTGTAGCAGACACCACCAACTACATCGAGTGAGTCGAATGTTAATATTTATTTATTTTCTCTTTTGTTGGCTAAGTTGAATCATCACTACTTCTTTATTATGCTTCCTAGCTTCACTTTCTGTAAAACCACCACCTCTCTTAACAGGGAGACATTTACTAAAAGTCAAAAGGTATAGTCTTCCAAGTAGTTTGACTTCCAGCTTGATCTCTCTGTATTTACTGGGGACTCAATGCAGATCAAACATATCACGTGTCCAAGTGACATACTGTGAGCAAGCACATCATTGCAAGGGGTAGTCATGGAAGTTTATGATGAAAACTGTAACAACAATGTGTCTCTAAAAGGCCAGTTGTACAGTTATTTGCCAAGAGGTAGAAAACAGATTTGCCTTCAGGTTGGTGGCACTTCATGGGCACATGATTTAAATGCTGGAACTGCCTGCCATTGCAGACATCTGGACATGTAATTTCTTAAGGAAGAACTCAACCCTGTGACTGATGCTGATTCATTGTGCTTTAATTACAGCTGCAATTATTTGATAAGAACAGAGCCAAAGTAAAAGACTCACAGATTTGGGGTTGGAGGGGGAGAGGAGGGAAATGTTTTCTCCACAAACACCACCATATGTGCAAGAATTACAAGTCTAATCAGCAAGGGGAGAACAGCTCGAGTAAACTGCACTGATTAAATGAAATAAAATGAGAGGAGAAGGCGAGAATGCAAAACACATCCAACGTGTTTGCAACAGGCCATCCTCAGAGGTGACGTTGCAACAGCATTTCAAATTATTGGAATTTATCATTCAGCAATGGTTTTATGTGGAATTACTGTACTGATTGTTTCCACCCCACATAAGGGCTCTTCAAGGAGCTGAGAATGAGGATGAAAGGGATAGAGAGGTGAATTAAGTTGCTTTAAACCCCACAGTTTAGGTTAAGACACTGATGTGAGAAGCATAGAGGACATTGGTGCAGAGGGAGACAAAGCTGACCACAGAGCCCCCTTTTTCTGCTCAGGTAAGCAAGGAGTTGAGGACATGGGAATGGGTAGAGCCTTCCTGTATGTGATAAGTGCAATAGAATTAATCCTCTGTACATACTACTTCATGATTTTTTGTGCTTTTCAGCCCTTTATAAATTCTAAATGTATCGAAACTTTGCTTTAGAAAAAGTATCTATTCAGAACATGTCAAGACATTATCCCAACAAAAACTCCCAAGCTAAAAAATTCATCAGGACCAAATCAATTTCACCAATAAGTGGTCAAGAATTGTCTCTCTTGGGACAGCACAGATGTCTACCCTACAAGCCAAAAAAAGGTGAGATGATTGCAATTCCTTCCTTCATGGTTTAGACATTTCCCTGTGGTTACAGATCAGACACACACCTTTTGCCGTTGGAAACAAATGCCACAGATGCTCATTTTTTCAAAGCATTATTATTTTTGAAGAGCTCTGAAATTCTGAATTAAATTACAAGGCAAATGGCAAATGATATCTTTTCTGCCTAAAAGCTTTGATATTTCCATTCTTTGCAAGTCTTCATTTATATCGCTCCACTTTTATTCCATAAGTGCTACATCTAGTCATGCAAATTCTCTCAGCTGTAGCATGTTATTGATCCTGAAAACAGAGATAGCAGTAGGAAACAGTGTAGGTATGAGATCACACCACCTCCAGAAAGGGAGGGCAGAGAGTAGAAAAACTCCCACCAATGGCCTTTATTTCTTCTATCATACACTAATTTGTATTTACTGCTAGCAAATTATAGAAATAATGTATTTTGGGTTTTACAAAATTGCATGGCAAAGAGAACAACAGATAAGACTAGCTGCTGTTTTAGTGAGTTACTGCTGATATCTAAGCTACATAAGGAAAGCTTGATTGCTTTCTGATGTATCCAGAAGCCCAAGAGAGATAAGACAGCCTCCTTACACATGGTTGTTTATTTAAGCATTAAGGCACAACAGGCAGTGCATCTCTGAATGATTATTACAAGCCTCAGGTGGTGTCAGAAGGCATGGGACTGAAGGCTGTGTGTCTCTAACTCGCCAAGAAGTTCAGTGATGACCTAAAAATGAACCATCTCTTGGTGTCTCATTCCTATTATGAAAACTGAATTGCTAAATAAAAATTAGGGGAAATGTTCAGATCTGTGTGGTTTCTGGGTGCTATAGATGTGGATGTGACATAATGAGGAGGCAATCAGAAAGCCCTAGTTGTGTCCAGTACTCTCAGCTCATTCCATAATTGCTTTTCATAACTCAGTACATGGAATCTGAGAATTCTCTGTCTTGTGAAAGCAAAAATAGTGCCTGAAAAAGCTTTCTCCTGTTACTCATTTTTTCTCTCCATCCGCAACAGCAAGCTGGGACAAGGTGAAGAGAGGAAAAAACATTAACATGTTCAAAGACTTATTTTTTTTTTAATTCAGACGGAAAATGTTTTTACCTGCTGCTTTTAAAATTTGTAGCCTGTCAGCAGTGCCCAATCTTTTAAATGTCCAAAAATGAATCTCCTAAATGCTACAGCTCATCTGAAAATTTTGCTGTGTTTAATTCCTGACACAGTTTGTATTTACAACAATGTCTTGATTGAAGGTATCCAAGTTCTTAATATACCTTCCTAAGTATTTATGCAATTTCTGAGTGTGTGTTTTTGCACCTTCAAGGATTCCTCTTCCCCAGTTCACCAGAATAACATACACTGAGGGACAGTGCTTTCCTTCAGGCACAATAGATCCCAGCCTTTACGAATTAACTCCTTCTACTCTGCTTGCATATAGATTTTTTTTGGCTGTCAGTGGTGTTATCAGCATTATGCCTTCAAGCCCAGTGTTCCTCTTTCCAGAGGACATACAGTGACATGTGGAGTCTGTGGAACAATATTCTGCACAGCTCCTTCTGAACGTGGCTCTGACAATGACAGATTTTATTCCCTGCTCATGCTCTTTGGGTAGTTTGCACAGGCACGTGAAAAGGAAACAGATCTCAGGTCTGGGGGAAGCACAACACATACCACAAAATCTTTCCCACCTCTGGCACTGTTGGAGGCAGCTGGACGCATCTGCTTATGGAAACTCCCGGATCTAAGCGAGCATGAAAATGTCTCTCTCATCACACTAATGCACGGTGAGGGAATTGCACGGGAAGGTTTAGGCACAACCTTGTAAAACAGGCTGAGCCAAACAATGAGATGGGCGGTGCTGGGCTTTGCAGCACCCTCAGTTTGACAAGCTTTTGTCCATCACTCCCTCGCCTGCATCAACACTTCAAACGGATTTGGGTGCTAATGCTGGAATACTTGTAATGAAGGGGGAAGGGAGGCAGAAAAGGAGCAGCCCCTTGATACCAGCAGCTCAATAGGCTTTCCAAAAGGCCCTGCACCATTTATGGAATTAATTGGCACAGAAGCAGATTAATCAGTGGAAACTAAATGTTTGCCCTGGTACAAGTTAAACTGGAAAATGTTGCTGTTAGTTTGTAATGCATCTCCTATTTATGAAAGGAAAGGTTTGTGCCAAACTCTGTAACGGTCTGTTTGCTCTCAGTAGGATTTCTGCACAAGTGTACTATGACAAAGGACAAAAAGGAAGGGAAGATTGAGTGACGTACTTCAGGAGAAGGCCAGCCCCTGGAGAGACCCTGCAGTGGAGTACTTGCTAGAGTCCACAAAAGACTGGTCTGATAAAGGACGACAACAGGGAATAAGAGAGGAAAGAAAGAAAAAGGACGGTATTAGTAAGCTGAAATATTACTTGTTTTTATCATAACAGTAGGTCCGTGCTTTAAAGGACACAGCCTCTCAATTCAGCAGCATTAGTTGAGTTAGAGGTAGGGTGGTTGCCAAACACCTGCACGGTACAAGGTGGGCTGGTGGTGGAGTCCAGTTACTATTTACAGTAGGAAACTTTTGAGACAGAGACCACCAGGGATCCCCCACTGTGTTCTATCCCCTTTGACAACTCAGTGTTGCTTAGAGCCTTGCAAAGGCACCGGGAACTCGCAGTTTGAGAGCAGCCACCTACTCTCCAGGCTGGGCTTCACGTACCTTGCAGGCTGTTGCCGTTGGTGCTGGTGCAGGTGGGAGGAGGAGAAGTTTGCGGTCTCACGACAGGTGCAAAAGCACTCTTCTGTTTCACTGCTGAGACCATGTTGGCTGGTGAGAAGGAGAAAATCCCAGAGGAACTGCTACAGTTTGAGGGGAGACTAGTGGAGGAGGCCATTGTCGGACTTGATGGCACAACTAGAGGGAAAAAGAGACCCCACAAAAGGCATTTTTTAGTATTCAATAGTAACAGGCTGCAGAAACAAGAGAATTCTGATTCTTGGATGCTCTCCTTTTTTTTTTTTTTTTTAGGGATTGAACTGAGTGTTCAAAATGCAAGCCTGCCATATAGAAAGTTCAGTTTTTAAACACAGATAAACCGTAATTTTTTGCCATGTAGTGGGATAAATATCTTTGGTTCATGTATTCATCATTGAGGTTTTAAGTGAATTTGTTTTCATGAAAATGAAATCAGCCACTTTAATATTCAGAAACCACTGCCAGTTTTCCCTCTTATCCAAAAAAGAAAAAACCAAAAACAAACCAAAAACCGAAAACAAAAGGGAAGGACTAAATGTAAGATCCCATACTTTCATTCATCTTCCTGTTTAGAAACTGCTTAGATATACAAGTGGGCTGTGAATAATTACATATTATAGAGTAAAATTCTGATCATCTGGGCTTTGAATTATTATTTTATTTGCATTTATTAGATAAAAATCACCCTATTTAAGTTCTTATTTGAGAATCTGATATCATATTTGTTAACACTGAGGAAATCAATTAATGGAAATTAAATGTTCAAAGTTTCACAGTCTGACAGATACAATCTTAGTCTGAAGTCACTCTGTGTCTGGAAGTACTTGCTAAGGGAGAGCAATCAAAGCACCTAAATTGAATTGCTACTATACAGCAATTAGTTTATTGATTTAATTAAGAATGCCACCTTTTAATTTTCAGGTCATGATTGAAGCATTTTCTGATTCAATGGATTAGGCATTAGCAGAATGACAGATTTACCAAGAACACCTCCCAAAATAGAAAAGAGAACCAGGGCTAGAAAGTGAAATGCTATTCTAAAGAGGACTTCGTTCATAAATATGAAATAATACTCTGCTAGAGTATTTTAAATGCATTACTGGCATCTGCTTCCAAAAGGAGATGTCTCATCAATCATGTTATATTATGAATTCAGAGTGTGCAGTTTCTATGACAGTAAATCCAACTTAATAAGTAAGGTACTTTGTAACATTACATGTTACATTATTATTAGAGTACAAAAATAATCACTGGTTTGCAATTCCCAGGTTATAAGTACTAGTTATGTGGGTAAATAATTTCTTCCAAATTTGCAGCAGATAAGAAACCTTGAAGTTATTGGTTTTTTTTTTAAGTCAGGTTCCCTATCCTCTTTTCAATTCTGAACTCTAGCCATGCAATTCAAAATAATTCATTCCTGCTGTTACACCATTCACTTAAATTTGATGTGTAAACCTTGGTATGTTCATCAGTCTGTTTGTCATGTTCATGCTATGGTCTCAGCCTACAAACCTATTTATATGACAAGACCCTCCATCCTGATTCTGCTGTCAGCTTTCTACAGATGTCAGTGGAATCCTTTGTGCCACATGAGTGATGTCAGAGGAACTGGGCAGGTCCCGTTCATTTAATCCTCTCGTGTGACCAGGGACTACTGAGCTGAGTGAGCAGCTGCAGAAGAGGTTCACAGGCCTCTACCAATAGAAAGGTATTTATATTTAAACAGGTTACTAAACCTTTAATATCAAAATGCAGAAACTTAGTCCTGCACATAAATATTTCCATAACTGGGACTGTAGACCATAGGCTCTTCACTCTGTGGAATATATGATTTGTATGACTTACATTTTTGTGGCGTTCACTGTACAGACACTAAAACATAAACTCTGAGAGCCACTGTCCCATTTCACTGACTAATACTAAGTTCTCAGTGAAGTCAAAGTAATACTACTTAAAAAGCAAATGGAGTATAAGCAATCAAGCTTAGGCCCAACAATAATTCATAATTTTTAAAAAGGTTATAAAGATGTTGTTTGCTCAGAAGTCAATGGCGAGGACAGTGTTTCTTATTTACAGAGTATAAGGTAAGTTATGAAACTATCAGACCAAATCATGAGATATATTATTATTATTAAGTGGTTATGAGACTCCCAATTAATAACGATGATGATAATAATAATAGTAATAACAATAAACAAAGAAGAGCATTTCTGGCAATGCTAGTGTCTTCAAAGTGCCTCAAAGGTTCAGTGCTTTGGAGAATAGAGAAAGATCTGTTTCAAATGCTCAAAATAGATACTAAATATTGAGTATCACAGGAAAGTCACCATGTCCCTCTAATGAAAATGTGCAAAATACAGAAAAGCCATGTAATACTCACTGGCATAGGGAGAATTGGCAGCAGATCCATTCAGGAAGGTTGGAGAACCTCCTAAATTTGACATTCCAGCATTCCCATAGCCGTTCATGCTTGTTGTGACAGAGTTATAATTTGTCTGCTGAGGGGTGGTGCTTGGCACGTAGCCATGAGGTGACACGCTGCTTGAGTTGCGAGTAAAACCTTTTGTGGGGAGGGAATACATTTAGAAATTGGTATCAGCTCCAGAACAGTTTCTTACACAAACAGCTACAAGCAAGTGACTGTGGTACCAAGGCAGCAGCTTAGTCCAGCCATGGTGTGCACAGGGAGGGCCAGGACTGACCCCCACAACCACCAGGCAACCCCAAATTGTGAACCCTCCCTGCTCCAGGTCACTGCTGGGGGGAGGAGGAGAAGGAGGAGGAGGAGGAGGGAGGCTGGAACCTTCAGAGCTCCTCAGGCAACCCATGCCCTCGAGCAAAGATCACCACTGGGTGTTAGAGGAACACTTGCCCTGAAAGAGCTGTTTGTAGGAAATGGAGTAAACATGACCTACATTTTAAAAGTGAGGAGCAAATACCAACTCAAGGTATGTTAAAAGCACGTGGTTGTTGTTAACTCTTTTCTGGTGTCACTCTCAGTTAACACATCTCATGCTAGATTGCTCACTGCACACCTCAGAAAATGTAGAGTGTATTTGTCCAAGAAGTGGGATATCCTTTGTCTTTTTGCCCTAGTTTGATCATTATGTGGTAGAAAATGACTAACAAATTTGGCAGCAAGCTAAAATTTGAATCTCTACCTAATTCTGGAGATTACATTTGCAGAAACTCATATCCAAATATCCATAAAGGAAGATTTGTCTCTAGCAGCACAGAAAGAAAAAATGCCAGTTTTTCTTCCTACCACACAGCACATCCACAAAATATTTTAATCTAGAAATAATTTCTATTTTTTTAGTGTAATGCAAAATAATTTTTGTCAACTCCCCTAGAAAACAGCCTTATTCCAATATTTTCTCATTAAAGTGAATTTTTAAGTTGGATAACATATAGAGCTGAGAAAAGGACTGGGGAAAATGCAAAGGGCTTTCAAAAAATGTGCTTCACCTATTTTTTATTTTTAACTGTGGGGATTAAAACAATATTGATTTTATACAAAGTGAAAACCACTTTATTTTAAAAATTAGAGAAGCTATGAAAGTGTCTTTGTAAATATTTCTATTCTTTGCTAGTTGTAAAATTTATAGAAGTCTCAAACTCTGAGAAAAACACAGTGCCAATATTACATCCCCAACTAAACCAGACAACTGTTCAAGGGATAATTTTATATTATAAAGAAGTGGTACACAAGGCCCAGACTGAGAGATCATCCATGCTCAGGAAAATATATAAGCAAGTACTTAACATAAAGTACCTGCTCAAGTGGTTTAAAATTAGTGTGATTTAAACACAAATACAAGTATTATTCTGAGCAAAATGAAATGCTTTGTAGAGATATGCAAAAGTGCTTTTCCCGAGTTGGGGCAGTCCCACTCCCTGGCAGCCCCTTGTCATTCCAAGGGTGTGCACAGTCTGGGATGGGGCTGCCTGAACCGTCCCTCTGCCTCTGCTCTGAACATTCCCCTGACTTTTATCAGAAAAGGTTCATAGAGAGAGGAAGATGAGTCTTCTCCTGACCCTGGTTGGTGGCTTGTGAGGCTTCGGAAACATTGACAGCTAGTTGACCACTAAAGGAATTCACTCCCATCATTCCTGCATGGACTGATGTGTTAGCAAGGGCGGGGAGCTGGTTGTGATTGCGGGGGACACTGTAGAGAGCTTCTGCGATGTCTGCAGCTCTTTTCAGGATGATTTCCTGCAGGATAAGAAGGGGGGAGCAGGGGGGGAGGGAAAGAATAAAAGAGTTACCAATGCGACTGACAAACCTTTTCTTACAGACTCAAATGAAACAGTTCCCTGTCCAAAGGCAAAAACTAGATGCTTTTCTTTCTACAGCAGTTAGCTGACTGAGAGCTAATGCTTATAAGATCTGCTGCCTTGTGACAAATCCTGACATCTGCGGTAAGGGAGTTGGAAGTCTCAGTCCCAACGGCCACATTTCTCTATGAAAAGACCAACTGGCAGAATGGGGTTGGAGCTGAGACTTTCTCCACCTTAAAGCTGTCGTTAGCGTAAGATTGAAAAATCACTGGTGGCAAGACACAATGCATATCATCACCCATATCATATAGTATCTGGTAAAAGCCTCCAGGGTTAATAACACGTTGCTTTTACAAGCACTAAATTCACACCCTTTAAAAAAGAAAACAAGTAAACTAAACCCCGCTCCAGATATGACATTGCCCTCTGCATTTATTCTTGTCTCCCACTGTAGTATTATATACGTTTAGCTCCCTGTCTATACATCTAAGAAATAGCCATGTTAAAGAATTGCTGAAGTAGAATGCATTTACCTGGTTATTATGTGGCATACCATAGAGTGCTTCTACTAAATCAGCAGCCCTCTTAAGTATTACTTCCTGTCAATACAAAAACAGATGCATTCTGCTGAGTTCAATAAACTCCTTGTGGGGGAAAACAAATATTAGAATCTTTTATTCTCTTCTATTAGTTCTATTAGTGTTTTGTGGTAGGTTTTATTTTTCTTCTTTCCTCCCACCAGGTAAACCTTAATTGTAACAACTCTCAGCGAACACTGAATGGTGTTAAATCACTAGTTCATCCTATTCACACACACGCTTAATCAAGTCGAAAGGTGAGAATCATTGGTGCTGCAAAATAAAATACATCACTCAATTGTCTCTACCATCTGCACAATAAACCACTCATCGGTTTATTGCAGAATACAATCCTGAGGTCATTTACTAGATTACTGCAATCAATGTCATTCAGAGCATGTTATGAATCCCTTCAATGTGTTTATTTTATTCCTAATTGCATGCTGCAGGAATTGTGACCTTACCCAGCAGGCCACATTCAGCAGATATCCAATCAGTCCTATGCTACTGGTAACGTAACCTTTCAACTTCCTGCGTTTGTATCCTGATACCTCAGGTCAGGGTAGAATCCATGTATTTAAAATGATGCCCAAGAGTAAAACACATGCAGTGTGAGAGAACAGCCCAGTACCATGAAGTGTTTTCTGGAAAAAATTCCCTGCATGGATGGTAGAATTTAAAACAGTCTGGGATTTAGTTCTCCATTTTGGGCAATTTTTTTCCCCCCTCCATTTTTTCATTTGTTCCTTTTCATTTAATATGTCTTAGATTATTTTATACTGACATTCAAGGAATAATAGCATTTCCTGTGTTCTTACATTTTACAGTGTCCTGATAATAACCCTGATAGAAAATATAAAACTGCATTGCAGAATTAACCCAGAAGAAATTTTATTTTATCTTATTCTTTCAAAGAATCTTTCAAAACAGATTCCCAATTGCCTGATCAAAACCGGTCAAGAACATCCTTTGAGTAAAACAATGTCTTTTCGTAGTTCCCAGCCCCTAAGTAGTGCTCTGATGTTCCAACAAGACGCTATTCACCACTGCATATTTCTGCAGGTAGCTTACAAAAATAGTACCAGTTTTAAGGATTTTACAGTTTTCTACAAAGTTAAACTTTTAAACTTAAAATATTTTACACAATAGCCATATTTTATACCAAAAAGAAACAGTAATGCTCAATTTTCATATACTGTAGACTCTGATCAGAAAATAGAGATATAATTGCGTTCATTTTGCTGTCACCATAACCTCTTCAAAAATCCTTGAACAACTCTTCAAATGACAAGCTTTTAGATGCATATTAGCATTTTTTTTTCAATTTTAAATTCTCTATAATATAAGATAAAATAGTTGTCATACTGCAGTAACTACTTATGACATATATAATGTCCTAAATTCAAAAATGAGATGGAGGATTTTTGTTCTCCCAGTAAACATTTAGGTTTGCCTTCTGCTGCACACACCCCTGTCTCAGAACACATATTTAAATTATTCTCCACATATGAAGTGAGATGTGATGCATAATTGATGGATTTTTAAATCACTACATTTGAAACAGATTCTGAGTTAAGTTGCTACAGCCTCTTTCTGTTGGTTTTTGTTTGGTTTGTTTGTTTGTTTGATTTTTGAGGTTGGTGTTTGTTTTCTGCTGTGATGGTTGTTTTACAGGGGAGGTTTTTTGTGTAGCTTGACCACAGCAGTTAGCAGGATAATCATGGACAGACAGACTGCAAACAACATTCAGGTACAAACAATCCTTATTCATCAGAACACTGAGTTGTCCTTTTTTTCCTCACACTGAAGGTGCAAACCAGAGAAGAGCAGAGAAGTTACTGAAAAAAAATTGTATCTTTCTCAATCCATGATTTTATATGGAAAATTACTGCACAGGTGTTTGACTTTGCAAACTAGGATTTATTTCACTTCAGTAGAAATTGTTTGCACTATATATTTCACTGATGGAAAATTAGAATGTGATACAGAGCCCACAAACTGCTTTGGAATATTGTTAACCTAAGCTGTCATTATGCCAAATTACTAAAAAAAGAGAAAGTTTAAATAGTCATTTCAGCTCTACCTGACTAATCATAGTTATTTATGTAATGCTCAGCTAAAAACCTTAGAATGCATCTAAAAAGAAACTGAAGACCATGTTAGAAAATGAGGTAATTACATAGAATCTTACAGCTGCTCTACCTAGTATCAAATATATTCCAGTTCTTAAACACTAGAAGTTCTTTAATGCCATATCATATTGCATGTAAATAAAACTAATTGTCATGATGGTTTATTGAAACCTGCTTGACAAGTAGCATTCAATTTTCTTAGCTAGTCAATGGTTATATTTTTTCAACATTTTCAGAGTCTGTAAATTTGAGTTTCATACTTTCTCTAACAATATTTTCACACAATAAAAGCATTTCTTGTTTATGACATTTTCAGATCATATAAAGTAGATGTTACACAAAAAACCTTCTCTGTCAAATAATGGTCCCTCCTATTCCAGAGCTGACGGCAGTTCTTACAGACACAAATTAGCTTTAAAAATACACAATAAGATGCTACTACAGACATGCTCAAGATATTAACTTCTTGTTTCCTGAATGCATCTTAAATCCTTCGCAGCTCTGCCTAAATTGCAATAGGAGCCCCTGTTACGACTCCACATACAAAGGAGCCCCAAAAGTCCTCTATAAGTTAGAGCAACAGACCTTGCAAGGTGCTTGGATTGCGGTGACCAGAAAATTGTTCTCACCTCCATGTCATTACGCTCACAGTGAAGCAGCCCCTGAGCATGTTTGTGTTCGGGATCTAATATATTGCCTTTCAATCAGAGCTGAGAGCCACTGAACACATAGACAGAACATGACGAGCAGGTCAGGAAAGCAATAAAGATTTTACAGAGCTGTCCAAGGTGCTAAATTTACTCAATAATGGGTTTGGCACCATAGTGTTAACCTCTCATTTACTACCAGTTTGAGGGACTAAATTGAAGTAGCTGACTTCATTTACCTTGAAATGTATATTTTATGACATTATGTAAGTAGATTGAAAGGGCACTGCAGTTTTAACAATTTAAAGGCTAGAGCATGTTTAAGATGAAGCTTGAATATTTATCGTATATTGCACTTAAACTATATTGTATATTAAAATGCATTGATTAAATTTGTAAAAGGTATTATAAAAAAGGACAGCTAGTATAAAAGATCTATGTCTTTTAAAATCCAATTGATACTGCATGTTACCACTGCAATGGTGACAGATAAACAGATAGAGAGGTGGACAGAGCAGCAGACAGACATATCAAGAAGTGAGTGAAACTAACGTTCTATAAGAAGAAATCTCTGCATAAGCTCAAGGTCTGCCATTCCAGATATTCTTTTGCTCACAGCAATTTTTCTTTGTCCTCATCTCAGAAGCCCAGATTTTCATAGCAGTAAGTGGGCATCATGTAAGGTCCTTCCAATTGAATATGCAAGTGGAAATATTTTCTGAGAGAGACAGAGTTTGACTAAAGCTAATATCTAATTTATGGGGGCATTTGTCAAGGAAGATCCACTCTTCTATTAATGCTAAAAGTCTGACAGTTTTTAGTTTAGAATAAAGGACTTTGCAGCATTTAGTTAGAGCTACAGTGAGGGTCTCCTTATCTCACATTTTCTTTCAAATGAACATTATTTCTATAACAACAACAGCTGAGCAAATATTAATAAAAGGAAAAATTACTTTGGTACTTAAATATGATGCATTAGAACACTGCAGTCCATGCAGCTACTCACCAAAAATCCACAGTACATTTTTATTCCAAACTGAAACTGATTTTCTACGGAGGGATTTGGACTTTTTTAATTTTTGAAACACAAATGCAATTAAATATTTTTCTTCTAAACTTAATAAGGGTTGTTTACATAAGCAAAAAAGGGGCTGGGTAGTGAAGTCTGCTGCAACTTTGCATATTTCAAAATCACCGTAGAAAAGTGATGAATTACAAGATCATATCAGAATGATGCTTTTGAAGCACAGCAACTGAAATTCAGACCGAATCCACTTCTGACTGAATGTACCTTGAACCCTACAGCACCTTTGCATGTTTTGTTGGAGGCATGCATTCCCTTCAGGAGGAATTCATTAAGAGCATGAAACTTGCATTTCAAGTTTTATCAAGATGAAAACAATTTGTGTCAAGTTTTATCATGACAAACACATTTTGTGTGAGCTTTAAAAGAGGTGGGATATTTCTTCTGGTGACATCTGCTTACTTTTTATTCAGAAACTAGTGAAAAAACCACACTCTGTGTCCCAAAAGGGCTGTGAGTCTGGTGAGATAAGGGGTATCTAGAGCTACACTGAGTTGTTTGGCTTAAGAAATTAAACTAGATAATGTTCAAGGTACTTGTTAAAGCTAAATGAATTTTGTCAAGAAGAAGCTGACCACAACATATAATGCTCATTAGCCACATATTGTATTATTGTGACCACCAAAGGATTTATGAACTTGTGGAGGGCGTGGGGGGTAAGCTGTTCTAGCATACTCTGAGGCATTTATCTTATGTGTTGTCTAGATATCATATCACCTTCTAATGCTCTTTAGCATTGTAATACAAGAGAGAGCTCATTCATCTTGTGAGAGGGTACTTAGGGATGATGATGTCATTCATACTTCCTTGACTCTTATGTCTGACCTCCTGGCTCTGCCTTCTAACTTCCCACTCTCATGGCTACTTGCAAGAAAAAACCACTTCTGCAGAGTCAAAATGCTCAACATCAGACTCCAGTTCACTCCTTCACCTTGGAAAGGTCACGCTCTGAAATTTCTAGTCAAAATTAAAATAATCTGCGCTCAAACTTTCCCTTTGGTTTTCAATGGGTGATATAATACAAATATAATATAAATATAAATTATGAACTATAAATGTGATAGTGAAGAATATGGGTTAGAATTAAGTTTTAAATTTAAAATTTGTGTATGCATTATGTTTTAAAAAGTAAAATTGCAAACACCCCTTTCAAGTATA